TCAAATTTTGGATTAAATGACTATTTTTTTAGTATAAATCTAACAAAGAAAACAGATGTCCACAAAAATATTAGGTGAATAATTAGGCAAGGAAAGGAACACTTTTTAGAAAGAAATGGGAGAAAAATATATGAGGCTTCTGTGAATATATCTTTTGTGTTTAACAAGTTTTTTAAAAGAAATGTGGTCAGTCTTTCCTTTCCCACCCAGATAAAGGCAGGTGTGATGTAAGTGTGAAGCGTAGAAGACACAAAAGCAATATGCGTTGAGCAACTTCTACGTGGTAGGCGCTGTTCTAGGCATGTTCTTGGTTTTCTCATTGAGCTCTCGCTGCCCCTGTGGACCCGGTGCTATGCTCCCTTTAGAGATGAGGAATCGAGGCTTGGAGAGGTTAAGACTTTTCTCGTGGTGGTTTGGATAATATGTGATGGTGCTGTACTCCAGGCAGGTCCGTCTTATTCTAACACACGTCTGTCTGTACCTTGAAGTTATCCCGTGTCACTGCTCAAAACTAATATGGTTCGCTGTTTATTTTCCAGTTGGACAAGACTTGGAAAATCTAAATCTTTCTTTAAAGTGTACGATAAGGATAGCAACACTGGCTGTCTGGAGACATTTAGATTTGAGGACGGAACTAAAAATGTGTGTGGGATACTGAAGTGGACCAAGATATCATATTAGCAACATGCAAATCTAAGGACACGTTTTAGATATGACAGCTAAATTTTGAGTTTCATTGACTAAAATTTCATGGGGCAGGTAAGCAGGAAATAGAGTGTTCAGGATTCTTACTTTTAAAAACATTGTAAGTCAAACCTAGGGATACATGCTTAGCATTTTGTCTTTAGTTCTCTTGAGCTTGATGCTTATTGAAAAAAAACCCAAAAACTCACTCCCATCGAGTCCATATTGACTCACAGCAACCCTATAGGACAGGGCGGAATGGCCCCTGTGAGTTTTCCACACTGGAACTCTTGGTGGAATTAGATGGCCCAGCCTTTCTGCCAGAGCAGCGGTGGCTTTGAATGGCAGTTAACAGCCCTGTGTCAAGGTTGCTGAGAAGAGACTCATTTCCGCAAAGGAAGAAAAAGTCCCTGTTACAAGTTGAGGCTTTCCTGCTGGGATTGGGAAAGGCAGCGCAGGAGGGGTCTCAGAGTTCACCGTCAGCAGCCACCATGTGGCCATGGAATTAACTTGCCCAAAGTCTCTTGGTTAATACCTCTGGGACCAAAGCCAAACCCAAGTCTGTCTCATGCAAAGCACCTGGTTTCCCTACGACACTCTCATTTGATATGAGAATACAACTTTGTTCAGGCTTGTGGAAAAAAAAACACACCAAAAAACTTATTCTCAAACACCTGTGTGTGTGTGTGTGTGTGTGTGTGTGTGTGTGTGTGTGTATGTGTGTGAGATATGGTTTTGTACAGCGAAGAGACAGCCAGGTTTTCTGTGGGGACGCTGAAGGAAGAAGATGACGTAAATGCTTGTTTGCTCCTCGACTCTTGCCTGAGCTCGTCCGGACCCTTTGGCTGTGGATCTCTGCTGGCTCCTCTCAGCTCATAGAACAGCACTCATATCTTAGGCTCTCAAACAGCTCAATCACTGATCGTCTCAAATAACTATGCATTTCTCTCTAGAGTATGGCAAAGCATTTTTGTATCAAAATCCCACTTTGCATTTTAAACATTACATCTCTTTCTGTTTCATATTTAAAACAGCCCATCCTCAAAAAGAAAGCCTTTATTCTTCTTTAATTAAGCCCATAAAAACTTCTAACAGCTATGTAAGGACCGTAGGGCTGGGCAGAGTAGTTCCCCTGCTAGTTGCTTTGCCCTTGTTCATCTCCACTCCCGAGGAAGGGGTTACATTACACGAGATGAAAGACATTAGCGAATGTTATCTTTAGTGCTCCATTCCCCAAAATGGAGGTCCACCTCTGAAGGTGATACCAAGACAACGTTGAAAGCCTAAGATCAAGGGATGGTGAAGTCCAACGCCAAGCTCACTGCCATTGAGTCAGAAAAAGGAAGTGTAAGTGAGACCCAAGGAATGACAAAGACCACCCTCTGGGAAATGGGAAATGTTTTACACCATTTTCCAAACTCTGTTTCTGTGACATGCTGGAGTCTAAGTGATGAGGGAGTCAGCCCGGCACACCAGTGTGTATAGTGTGTCTTTGCAGCAGTCGTCAATATCACCTTAACAAAGAGACGGCGAATTTCTTTAACAACTTGGCCTTGGTTATGCATCTGGTCCTAATGCTTTCCTTCAATCACCTCAGACAGGGCGTTTGACACTACAATGTTTCAGGAACCCCAAAGGTTCCTGCATCTCCTTGCCTTGGGCTTGGCTTTCTCTCCACGAGCAAAGCAACCATGCTTTCTCTCTACCTCATTCAGTCTGTCTGACTTCTGTCCGTTCTCAATGTTAGGATACAGTTTGTTTTCCCCCCCAGAAAACCTCTGAAAGTCTTTGTTCATAAAAATTAGGTCAGAGGATTGTTTATTTTTAGAGATCCCTGTAATTGTTTGTAATACATCACCAATTGGGTAGTTATTTATTCATATCTTGCAGAAGAATGTAAATTCTATCACATAAGATATATCAACTGGAGGGAATTTTGGGGGGGAATTGTTCTGTGGAACTAATGGTTCCGGAACAGAGTTTAAAATCATCAGTATTGCATGATGTAGCATAATACTTACTTCACTGTAAAAGGAAAGAAAGCTGTGGTTCTACTTTGTTCTCTAGCCTGAGGTTGTTGGAGGAAGGTAAAGAAAACAAAGTAACTGTTCAGAAACTGAACCACCTCTTTGGAAAGTTCTCCCACATGGCATTCCCCCACCACACACCCTTGTGCGGGCGAACATTTTCCTGCCTGGTACTTCCTGGGAAACAGAAAGGTGTTGAACCAAGTGGAATTATTTCTAAATTGTCTACTTTCCTAAAGGAGAACAGATTTCCATATTATAAGGACCTTTCCTTAATGCTTTGATCCCAGGAAACCTAGACAAATCTCCCAGGATCCATGATGACTAGCAAGAGGGCTGGAATGAAAAATTTCAGAGCCATACCAAGGTGGCTTACTGTTCCAGTGTCCAGTGTTTTCAACTCTTCTTTGTCCAAGGGTCTAATGAGGAAATAATTTGAACCACTAGATCCTCCAATAATCTTATAATTTCTTCCTTTTAAAATAAGGAAATTGGTTCTCATCCTCTTTTTGTATGGGTTAATTTTTACACATACACATATGTGTCTCTGAAATTAAGTAAACTATCACATTATTTTAAAATTTGGCATGTGTTCACTACACAGATTTCAGCAAAAAATGCCTCATTCTCCCCAAATGTTCACATATTGAAGAATCATAACTCTTGGTCTATTTGAAAATAATTCATTGTCAAATAATTTCAGAATTAAAACCCACATCAGTATTTAAACTACTTAATCAGTTCCTTAAGTTCTGAAATTCTAAAGCTATTTTAAGATTTTCTATCTACCAGCGTGGTCATTTGAAAGGGAAACTTCTGTTCCCATGTAGTCAAAGTTTGATCTGAAGCTTTAATGTGAGAAAACCATAACTTGAACTAATGTTGTTTTTGTGAAACTATTACATGCAGTAATCTCGCTTGTCTTGGTATTTTGGGAGCCAATCTTTCATGGAGAATGCCTCTGGGGCAAATGAAATTGCAGGAAATAATCACTGGTTGAACATCTTTGTTCTATCATCTGAAAAATAAGAAACATAAGCCAAAGCTCTTGGATTGCATGCGAATTCATTAGTTCACAATTTAAATGAGGAAGTACACAAATATTTGTTTTGTGAAATATACTGGTGTTATCAAACACATTTCATAGGCAGCTCAGAAATTTTATAAGGCATACAAAGATTAAGTTGCTGAACCAGGGCTTGAATCCAGATATTCTTTCCACGATTAATACATTGCTTACCTTTCCATTAGCTACTATCACATTCTCACCCCAACCAAATAACATCAGAGCATCACGCCCTGCACCAGGAACAGACTTTGACAGTATAATTTGAGTGCCATTGGGAGTGTGTCTGTCTGGAGTATGCTACTTCCCTTTAGCTCCTATTGATATCCTCCCATCATTCAACACTGCTCATACTCAAACCGCTTAGGGAAGAGACAGTCTCTATAGCCCAGGTGGGAATGAATCTTTATTAGTACTTGTCCACACTGCATAAAGACCAAACTCTTTGAGAACAAATACCTGGTTAGTCTCCCCCCCCTCCAGATTCCTCATGTTACTCAGAAAGCTCATCAAGAAATATATGTTAACAAGTAAATATATGGAGTTGAATCATTTCTATGTGTAGCAAAAGTCCCCTTCCATTCAGTTAACATATGCTAGAAAATCAACATTTTTGAAAGGGTGTAATAAACTCCTGGAAAGCAGTAATTGTTACAGGCAATTCTTTACAATGTTAATAAATAACTTACCATAAATGATGTCTCCAGTTAAAATGGTCTACTCACTTATGATCATCATTACAGGTAATATAATTTACCGAAAGAAACAAGGGACCATAAAAAGAAAAAACTCATAAACGATCTTGCTCTAACAGCTGTCTCTTCATTGACCACACAGTACCACGACAAAGTTACTCATAAATTAAAAGAAATAGAAATGATTGTGATGTTTCAAACTGGAGAATTTATGTATTCAAAAGCATGTTTATTTAAAGTGATAACATTATTTTAATGATCCAATAAAACTTCAATTACAATCATACTGAAAATTCGATAAGAGAGCAGGGAAGTGTGATGACTCAGGTTTGGTTTCAAAGCACCAGCGGGTAGTTGCAGATTGTGGAATTTCCTCTGACATAATGCGAAGATGAGGGTGCAAATTTCTCTGTAGTACAATCCTATAAAAAGCCACAGGAGCACAGCAGCTAACACAAATCCTCAGAGACAGCCGAGTGCACAACTGTCTAGGACAAGAGCCAGCGAGGAACCGGAAACCAGCCAACTTCTGTCAACATGAGTCCTAAGTTGGGTTTTGCTCTGTTGGCAGCTTTCCTGATCTCTGCAGTGTTGTGTGAAGGTAAGCCCGTCTTTCCCACCTACAGTTGTCTTCTGACTCCATGCTCAGATAGGTGTCGATCCTTAATGCTTGGACAACAGACAGCCTTTTGATTGAGGACAATAAAACCTTTGCAGTTATTTCATATTAGGGGGAGGTTTTAATAATGTAGCCTTTAGTAATGTGTAAACTGATGAATGTGGCCTTTTATTTCTAGTACTCAGACTCTATAGTATGTAGATATGTAACATAGGTCTTTAATTTCTAGTATATCCTCTGGGGTACGAATGCTAACCCATCTTATTCATTATCAACCTGGGTAACTCAAATAATTACACTGTTAAGTATTTTATTGACTAAGCACTGATTAAAAAAAACCAAGTTTCTATTCAGTTAAAAAACATCTTAATAAATTATAGATCTTTTGGGAATCCTTCTTATAAAACAAATATAGTTTAAACTGCATCTGGAAAATAATAAATCTACTCTCTTCTTTTATATTTACTAAAATATAAAACAGTTCTGTGTATCTCATTGATAACTTACTATTAAATCCCTTTGAAGGCCTTTCTTTGTCAGAATATTTTCATTTGCTTACTATAAAGAGCAGTCTGGTACCACAGAGGATTATTCGATAGAAAGGATAATGAAAGCATATAAGGATGTTCACAAAGACAATTCCAAACTTGTATATAGAAAGCCATTCAATGAATTCTATCATGATTGTTCTCCAAACCATGACAACAATAGAGGTCAAGGCCTAGAAGAATGTCAGGCCTTTAGTTCAGGGATGGATTCGTGAATGACAGGACGATCCTTTCAAGCTCCCAGCAATCATATCGGAATTAAAAAGGAGGTAGCAGGCAGAGTTGTGGCCCTTGCTGGAGTCCGTCCTGAGTTGCTGTTTCTGTTTGTTTCCACAGATGCACTGCAGCCAAGGGTGGCCACAGAACTGCGATGCCAGTGTTTGAAGACACACCCCAAGCCTTTCCATCACAAATATGTCCAAGAACTGAGAGTCATCAACAGTGGACCGCACTGCCCCAAATCAGAAGTCATGTAAGTCCTTTCAAAGGCTCTTAGATGATTTTATTATAAAATCTAGAACAGAGAAAGGAGAGTTAAGCCACCACAGTCTATGAAGACAGCAGCGAACAAAGCTGAAATTATTTTGGTTCTAATGATAGCTAACTATAACACACTCCATGCTTAGTAGTAGATAGTGGCTGGAGTTTGACCTGTGTGATGGCCAAGAGGTGCCTGAAGCCCGTTGATTACTGACTGTGATCCGTGCCTCCCATTCTAGTGTGAAGCTGGTCGGGAAGGATGGCGTGGATGGCAAACTGGTCTGCCTGGACCCCACAGCAAAGTGGGTGCAGAAGCTCGTGGAGCTATTTTTGAAGAAGTGAGTTCCTTTTCCTTGAACCTTTCATTTTCCTTGGGGCATATATAAAGTCCAGCAGTCCGCCGATACATTTTATGCTGCTGTTAAAAAAGTCTTTTCTTTCTGTTAACTATCTTCTCGATTAAAAATAAAAAAGCAGCAGTTTGTTCTACTCATGTCTAGAAAGACCATATCACTTAAATTTGTCCAGGAAGCGCTGAGCTTCAGCAGGGGTTTTGAAATCATCCTCAATGGAGTCTCTTTCATCCCCAGACATGTCCTCGTTTCCCTGTGTGTGCGTGTAAAGAACAGCATCCCTAGCACATCAATATCTATGACGATGTTAATTGCTCAAGAACATGTATCTTAAGAATGATTTTATCCTCCTTCATAGAGAATTATAATGAAAAATTTTATTCTATATTTTCAGGGCTGAGAAAAAAGAACCATAAAAAAATCATTCTTCATGGTTTCCAAGAATGCTTCAGTGAAGAGCAAATGAAACCTCAAGCAAAACCCCATCGGTACTTCCTGGATTGCCTGGGTTAGGGGTAGGGCACCAGAAGATAGGACGCCCATGCACATTTGACATCCTGCAAAATAAGGGAAAGTTTCCTACTTTTTCATTTATGTTGTCTCATGCAATATCTAGAACATACATTTTTTATAAACCTGTGTGTCTCAGACCCAAATTTGACTGGAAATACTGTATTAAAAAAAAAAAAATCTAGTCTGGAGGCCAGAATTCATGAGTCCCAGGGCAACCGTGCCTTGGTTTCTTCTCTGTTTCTCTACTAGGAAAATGATCAACTCTGTCGTCCTCCTACCTCACAGGGATGTTGTGAGGACTGCGGGAAGCACTTTAAGCTTTTTCATGGTCATGTCGATGATCTTCAAGTATAACTTATTCACCTATTTATTATTTATATATTTATTAAAGCAACAAACATTGTAATATTTGTGCATGAAATTGAGAAAGTGGGAAAGAAAATATTATTGGTTAGCCCATACAATTAAGTTATAGAGCATTTGGATTAATTTTAGGCATCGAGTGATAATATATGAGAGAATTTTTCACTATGGTAAACATATTTATTAAATAAAATTCAAGGTGCCTTATAGAAAAGAATGAGTACTTCCTTAATATGAAGATGTGACTGTTATTCTAAAATGCAAATTTAACTAAAAGTCCTACTTCTGTTATTGGAGATCTTGTCACTGCCTTCCTTGTTATGCATAGCTGTGCTGAATCATCTGTTTACAGTTAGAACTTCACTAGGCAACGTAAATAGAATAGTTTCTCGCTGCCTAAAATTATTCATTATGTACAAGTAGATGGTCATGCCTTCCGTGAAATGATTGTGTGTTTTCAAGATCAGACTTTATTTATTTTTTTAACTTCAAGGTGACTTTAAGATATTTTTCTTACTTTTTAATGCCAGGGAAATATAAATGTAATTATAAAATATTTCAGAAAATATAATTTATTTTCAAAACTCTTGGCTGTTTGATTTTGTCTTTTGGAGTGTAAAATTTCCTGGGAATCTTTGTTCATATTAAAATCATATTTTTATTTAAAAATCTAAATGCTTCTCCTTCGTACTTTATGCATTACATGGAAAATCAGAACTTCCCAGAAGTGGGTTATAAATAGTAATTTCTTTGATGAAAACTGGACATTTCCTTGGCTGTCCCCTCTGTTCCACTTTGCAAATACAACTGGCTTCAGATTGTCTGTCAATCAGGAAGTATTTAAAATCTCTCCCATATGCCTACACAATGAAACTTACACTCACTGAAAGAAGGGAGTACACATTATATGGTGCCTATCAACTCGTTGAGGGATAAAACTGACATATATGGCGAAATAAATCATTTGTCATTATGACTAAGGATGAAAATCTATTCGTATTTATTTGACACTTATTTTAACTCACAAATTTACTATCTTCCTAATCTCTTAATAACTTTCATAACAATCATGAGGGAGGTAGCACCCTCTCTACTTTATAAATGAAGAAACAGAGACAGGCTCAGAGTTTGTTAACCCAAGTCACACTAATCATAAAGGCACACCGATAGTTTATTGAATGATTACCTAATTAAATCCAATTACTTTGGGTTCAGATACCATGTAGTCTTCTCTTCAAGACTCAAAAAAAAAAAAAAATCGAAATCACTGACATTTAGTTAAATCCAACCACCTCCTTGGAGTTCCTGAGACTTTGAATCTTTATGGGAGCAGACAGCCTCATCTTTGCCCTGCAACGTACATGGTAGGTTTAAACTGCTGACCCTGAAGGGTCCTTAGCCTAGCTTGTAATCAAATATACCAGGGACCCTTTTTCTCTTCAAGACACCCAAACTGAATTGTTTCATATAGGTGGTAGGAAGAAATGTAGCCATATAAGGTTTGGAGTGACAGGGTCTGGACGGCAGATGTTGGTCGGCTGGGTCCATAAGCTAAGACGTGACTGTGAGTGTGCTTGCAGCTGTAGCTTCGTGCTGCTGTTTACACTCAGATCTCTTCATCTGTTTACTTCTACATTCGGAGCTGCGCTCAGACTCTTCTTTAGGCCTCTCTCTTTCTATGATTCCATTTTGCTCCACATTTAAATCTATCTTATGCTTTCTAGTCTAGGCAGATGCTGTACTCCTTGGTCTTCCTAGAGAGTTTTATCATCACCAGCATTCTCTAAAGGAAATCACTGGACTGAATTAGAGACTTGGATGGTGGAGATTAAAAGGCATCAAGATAATTTTGTAATCTATATGGTACTACTTTTCTTCCAGAGTACATTTCTCATTCTAAAAACAAATGAGCTTTGTCAAGAGCTATCAGAGTACATATTATATTCTCACATTAACCTATCACACCATTTGAGAGCTTGAAATAGCATATAATATATTAGTATACTACATGCAATTATCCATCACTGGTGAGTCAAGTTTAACTCACAGCAAGTCTACCCTCTACCATCGAGTCAGTTCTCACTCATAGCAATCCCAAAGTACAGAGGAGAACTTCTCCCTTAGGTTCCTGAAGCTGTAAATCTTTACAGAAACAGCCTCTTTCTCCTTCACAGCAGATGGTGGATTTGAACTGTTAACTTCAGTTAGCAGTCAAGCATATAAGCTACATACAACCAGGGTTACTTTAGAAACAGTACAGGAACTTGAAAACAATTGAGTGACCATGCTATTCCTTCCACAAAATACAACTTAAAATAAAAATTAAATGTCTTTTAAAATCCTCTTAAATTGAATTTATGAATTGAACAGAAGGTAAAAAACGGATCAAAATTAGATGCAAGCTATAATACAAAAACGTTAACTATTGGTTAAAACTGGCTTCTATTTTCTCTGAGAGTATTTTCCAAACCTGTTAAATCTCTGACATTGTTTTGCAGCTTCTTTTTGGTTAGTAGTGATAAAAAAACCCACAATAGATGAGTTTTATAGTAGATTAGACATAACTGAAGAAAAAAATTTGATTATTAGAAAATAGAACCAAATTAATTTATTCAAAATTCTTATCATGTATAAGAAATTGTAAATAGGAAAAGGAAGTTAAAACATCTAGGAAGAGCGGGATATAGCTTTATACATGTGCAATTGGATTTTTATAAGAAAAGAGAGGGAACGGTAAGAGACAATATTTGCAGTGACGATGGTTGAAAACTTTTACAAATGAGGAAGAATAAAAATCCAAATTTTCATGAAATACAGTTTACCAAATACTGGCTTTATGACCACGAGGTGTCAAAGGGATAAGGTATCAGGCATCAAAGAACAAAAAATCATATCACTGTAAATGAGGGTGAGTTCAGAGTGGAGACTCAAAGCCCATTGGTAGACAACTGTACACCCCCTTACTGAAGGGTTTTGGGGAGGAGATGAGCCAGTCAGGGTGCAGGGTAGCAACAATGAAACATAACTTTCCTCTAGTTCTTAAATGCTTCCTCCCCCCCACTATCATGATCCCAGTTCTACCTTACATATCTGGCTAGACCAGAGGATGTACAGATAGGAACTGGAAACACAGGGAATCCAGGACAGATGATCCCTTCAAGACCAGTGGTGAGAGTGGCAATGCCTGGAGGGAGGAGGGAATGTGGGGTTGAAAGGGGGAACTGATTACAAGAATCTACGTATAACCTCCTCCCCGGGGGATAGACAACAGAGAAGGGGGCGAGGGGAGATGTCAGACTGTGTAAGATATGAAAAAATAATAATAATTTATGAATTATGAAGGGTTCATGAGGGAGGGGTAGTGGGAAGGGAGGGGGAAAATGAGAAGCTGATATTAAGGGCTCAAGTAGAAGGCAAATGTTTTAAGAATGATGATGGCAACAATTGTACAAATATACTTGACACAATGGATGGATGTATGGATTGTGATAAGAATTGTATGAGCCCCCAATAAAATGATTAAAAAACAAACAAACCTGGCTTTATACTCCTATCTGAAAGCAAGGATCTTAGAATTTTAAAAATTTTACCCTATCTACCTCCTAGCTCATATAATGTTACTGTTTCATTTTAAATCTAATTCTTAGAAGCTGAACAATGCATGTTTAGGGTTTCTTTATTTTTATTCATTCTTATGTCTCAGTTATATATCTTGAAGCAATTTTCCTTTTGCAACATGAACATCATTCAGAAGTTTGTTTAGTGATGGCCTGCTGATAAACAGCCTCTCATTTGTTTAAAGCTTGAGAGATAGTTTTGCTGGTATGTGTTCAGCGTATAAGAATTACATGATAATTATAAATTTCTGTACAGTTAGTGAAAAAAACCTCAAAATATATAATTGATACATTTTTGTAACCTTAGAAAGGAACATAAATATATCATCCTGGTTAGAAAGTTTCAAAGAGATCTCAGTAAGTGATTATTCAAGAAGACAAAAACAATATGGAGATTCTAAAGGTAAATATCACAGAATAATCTAATATATAAGGGGGTATCAACTATTTAAAAAAGTGGAAAAACTCAAATAAAAGATAATGGACAGTCATATACTTTCTGAAACTTCCTGATAATACATATCATTCTGCAGTTTCAATACACACATTAGTAAATAAATGCCCACAAACGTGAGTGGCTGTATAATTTGCAGTATCCAGGACAAAATGAAAATGTGGAACCCATTGTTTAAAAGTATTCATTTCAACACGTTGACAGAAAAGAATTAAGCCAATAATAAGGCTCTTGGCCTATACAGGTATAATTTCTTTCCATCAAGTATGTTTTAAATTCTATTCCATTGTTTAAATCAATGGCTCTATTAATGGAACTACCTTAGGCCTTGGGGGAGTAATTTATAATGCTCTCTGTTGTAAAATGATGATGCTATCTGTAACGTGAACCTGCGGTTGTTGTTTGACGCCCTTCAGCGGGTTCTGGCTCATCGCGACTCTATGTGCCACAGAACAAAACACTGCCTAGACCTGGGCCATCCTTGCAATTGTTCTTGTGGTTAAGACCATAGATCCAGCCACTGTGTTAATCCATCTTGTTCAAGTTCTTTTTCATTTTTGCTGCCCCTCTACTTTACTGAGCATGATGTCCTTCTTCAGGAACTTGGCTCTCCTAATAACATGTCCAAAGAACAGGAGACAAAGTCTCACCATCTTTGCCTGTCAGTCGCGTTCTGGCTGTACTTCTTCCAAGACAGACTTGTTTTCTCTTTTGCCAGTGCTTTTGATATTCTTTGCCAGCACTATAATTCAAACGCATTGATTCTTCTTCGGTCTTTAGTAGGCAATGTCGAACTTTCAAATTCGTATGAAGCTACTGAAAATACCATGGCTTGGGTCACATGCACCTTAGTCCACAAAGTAAAATCCTTGCTTTTTAATATTCGAAAGAGGTCTTGTGCAGTCTTCAAACCCAATGAAATGAATCATTTTATCTCTTGACTGCTACTTCAATGACCACAGATTGGTGATTCAAGCAATACTAAATTCTTGGACAACTTTATCTTTTCTCTGTTTACCAAGATGTCACCTACTGATCTAGTTGTGAGAATTTCCATTTTTTTTTACACACTGAGTTCTAATCCATACCGATGGATGCTGTCCCTGATCTTCATCAGCAAGTGCTTCTAGTCATCCTCATTTTCAGCAAGCAAGGATGCATCATCTGTATACCGCAGGTTGTTAATAAGCCTTCCTTCAATCCTGATGCTACATCCTTCTTCATACAGTCCAGCTTCCTGGATGATTTGCTCAGCATACAGTTTGAATAAGTATGGTGAGAGAACACAGCTCTGACATCTACACCTTGCCTGATGTCAAACCATGTAGTATACCTTTGTTCTGTTCTCACAATTGTCTTTTGATCCATGTACAAGTTCTGCATGAGCGCTCAATGAAGTGTTCACAAATTCCCATTCTTCTCAAGACTATCTGTAGTTTGATATGATCCACAC